TTTCGTTGCTTTTTTTATTTTAGTACAAAGAGGCAATTTGCTCATAAGAACTATTAATTTCGTTTTGGCATTTTGCGTTGAAAACTTCAAATGCCGGTTCACTTTTCAAACTGTTGCCACCAACTATTAGAGACCTGTCTTATATTTAAAGAAATTGAATAATGAAGAATCTGCATAAATGTATATATCTTTCTCGCACTGTGAGAAAACAACAATACCTACAGCCATCTAATATTGAATAACGTAAGTTTCAATCTCAATATAGGCATCTGGAAGCCCAAATTTGGAATTTGGAATTTATTTTATCATCTATTTCATATTTTGTAAAATTTTAACGAATTTTTGATTAACAAACTCAACGATTTCAAAGCGAGCAATAGCAAAACTGTACGGGAAAAAATATATCTCCAGCGCGCGAGACTGTGTATCGGAAATTCTAAAGATATGCTCATTAAATAATTTTTGCGATATTGCTGTTGAACTGAATTTTGTGGTTTAAGTGCGAAGAACATGATAATATAGGTAACACACAAAACGCTAAGAAAAACGGCCCTTTGGGGTGTAATGTAAAATCTCAAAGCTTTTAGATTCTTTAAAATTGTTTTCTTAATTTTTTTTTAACTCTGTTCATCTTAAATCTTAAATGTAAAAACATATTAAAGAATTTATTATGATATTTCCTATGTAAATGGAAACCTTTAAAAGGCGTAGTAATTTATTAATATGTGTATATGATACCAACAGAACTACGCTGAGCATATACTTAAGGGGGCTCATACACCTTAAACCCGAATCTTCGAATATTCGATCTTCGAATATGTGACTGTTGCAAGAATTAAGATATTTTTTTATTTTAAAAGCAATTACTTTCAACGTTTTACAGCTGACTCCATATTATGAACTAGTAACTGCTTTGGAAACTAGTAACCAGAATGTTTGTGTTACCACAAATATTTTTGTAATTTAATCTGCTTTGTGACAGAATTCTTTTTCATGTTTCCAGCTTGCGCGCATGATATTTTTAAAATGGCTAATGGTACATTCTTTAAATTTGATGGAGTTCTTTATATGGGTACTATGTTTTAACTGAACCAAAAATGTGATGAATATTTTAATATTAAAAAATTTTATGCACGAAAATATTACAGATTTTTTAAAATTTAAATGCACTTTATAAACTCAACTCCAAATAAAATGAAATTTTAACATTTTATTCTTAGAATTTTCGGTTGACAGTAGTTTCCAAATGTTTTAAAAGCTATATATTAAACATGCAATTAAATTATGCAACAGAATGTTTTAAACTGAGCGCGAAACGTAATAACATGACGAAAAGTTTTGTCACAAATCGAATCAAATTATAAAAATATTTGTGGCAACACACACTTTCTGGTTACTACTTCAGAAAGCAACTATATTATGTAGTCAGCTGTAAAAAGTTGGATGTAATTGCTTTTAGAATAAATTATATATCCCAATTCTTGCAACAGTCACCATATTCGAAGATCTTATGGGTTTTAAGGTGCATGAGTGCCCTTAAGCTTTCTAAAGCCCTTACATCTTGGATGAGTTCTGTCTGATTTTAAATTTGGTGAAGGGTTCTACATTTGAAGCGAAATCGTTTATGAAATGTCTACAGAATAAAGTTTTGATCCTCACGATTAATCAGATTCGCTTTCCGAGAATGAATATTTCTTTTTATACAGAATATATTATCTGAATTTTTTTAATATTAATTTTTAAAGTTGAAAATTTAGTTTGATATCTCTCAAAACAAAACATCTTACTTTACATAGCTTTGCAAGTATTCCGTGGTGAACGAACCGTGCTGCCGTTTGCACTATCGCTTATATCGGTTGTTCGTGAGAAATTCAAACGGTTTACTAATACATTATTTTAAATTATTGTATCATTTTACTTTCTTGTACGAAGTAAAAGAAGTAATGTCTGTACGTACTTTTGTATCTCTAAAAATATGTCTAATAAAAAGTCTTATATCTCTAATAAAAGAAGTCTGCACGTACTTTTGTATCTCGTATAACTCAAAAATGAGTAGCCATATAACGTTGAAATTTTGTATATGAAACTACTATAAGAAGTAGTTATAACCTCCCTTTTACGTTTCAATCGGTCAAAACCAAACATACATATGTAACAGTTGAGCCAAAAATTCGTTAAAATTTAAAAATTTCATAAAAAAGGAAGAAATTACAATAAAGAACTGCGTCTTGCAAAGCAAAAAAAGGCTCAGATGGAGAGTCGGATTTTTTTTTAGCAGCAAAGACAATTTTTAGTTTCAAATGTCACCGGTGCTGACGACCCGAAACACAATGAACATGACAACAATACGACCCATTCATTTATTCTTTCTATAACAGTTGTTCAACATGACCTCCAGACATTGTGAGACACAACTAACGCGATTCACCACTCTTCTTACAGCAACATGTCGGAGTGAATTGCAAAAACATTTCTAGGATCCTAGGATCTTTGAGTTCGGCCGATGTTGAAGGGGATGAACGGCACACAAGTGATATCAAATAACCCCACAACCAGAAGTCGATTGGAGTGAGTTCAGTTGATCGTGAAGGCCATGCGATCTTGCCACCTCGACTGATCACTCTGTCTTCACGAAAGGCACTCAATAGGAATCATTTTACTGGATTGGCATAGTGTGTCTTTGCGCCATCCTGCATAAAGCTTATTACAGATAAACACCTCTTTGATTTAAAGCGTGCACGACTTTGCCACGCAAAAGAGTGACATATCCCTCCGGTTACTGTGCACATTTTTCCAGCCAGAAAGGGGACAGGTTTCTTCTGTCTTCACGAAAAGAAGTAATGTCTGACAAAGTGAAGACAGAAGTAATGTATGAAAACGGTTCCACCATGAAGGATGATGTGAAGCCACAGCATACTGTCAACTGGCTGCATGCAGTGATTTCGTCTTGTATTCACAAGGATGCCAAAACTTAGAACACTGTACGGGAAAAGTGTTCTAGGTGACGCCCATATACAAGTGTTCTAGGTGTTGGCATCCTCGAGTAGTGTGAAGTGCTCTTCATAAATCCAGAAAACGTTGAGCAACAGCTGAGGGTCGCTTTCAGTTATTCACTCGGCATAATCAAGTCACTCGGAAAATGGATCATTCCTGTATATCCTGGTTTTAACTCATACAGTGATTGCAATTTGCAGGGATAGAGTTGCAATATTCGGTGGACGAGAGTCAACTCCAAAATCCTTTCAGATCTGCCAGAACTGCTACTATCCGTGGACGATTCATCCGCTGTATCATTCATAGTGGTTTCCACCGCAGTAGTTCTGCCCGTCGCTTACGAGGGTCTTCTACTTCTTGCCCTATCCTCCAATGAGCTAGTTTCTTCGAATCATTTGACAAGCTTCAGTATTCCATAACACGACATGGGGCCATTGTTCATCTTCAGGCCTTTCACCGTGCGAAATTTTCGCAACGCAACATTTGCTAACAGTTGTAGAATTATCAATAATTTAAAAGTTTATGTGGGGCTAAGCCTGACGAGGCGTCCATTTGTTTACATTTCCAAATCTTCGTAGAATAAATAATTAAGTTATTTGGTGCACCAATTTCAGTGGGTTTTTTTCTCAATAGGGTAAAATGTTGACTTTCAGTTTTGTGAACCGAAAATTTTATCTTCCTGCCCGCTAGTCGAACTACTTGTTTTTACTTACTAACTGTAATTTTAATTGTAATTTTTTAAACTATTTTCAAGTGCATTTGGTGTTTGAGGTTTTGTGTTTATGTATTTTAAAATATTTAATGAAGATTGAGTTTTTATGTACTTTTGCCTTGTCGCTAATTGAGAACCGAAATGATTGAATGATAAATATATCAGTTATGAAATTCGAGGAAATAAGTTTAAATGAAGCACTGCAAAAAATGTGTATAATTTAATAGGCCACGCGAGGAACTCATGTGGAGTTCACACATCAAATATTTTAAATAACAATTGCGAAGAAGTGTAAGCGTACAACACCAAACAGTAAACATCTGAGGTAATCTGAACATTGAAAAGTAATACAGGGTTTAATCACGGTATAGCAGTCTGGGTATATGAACTTCAATTAAAAAAATAGTTAAGGAATTTGCACAGTAAACCGGCTCATATTTCACTGCATTCTAGAAAAAATTACAACACTTTCTGATGTATGCCCAAGTATGTCCGAGATAAATCATTAGCGGCCACTCTTACTACTGTAAACATTGACTTAAAATACGTATACATAGGATTTCCTTACGAAACGAATGATTGAGTCTATAAATAACCTGTGAGTGAATGAGACACACATATTATATTCAAAATATTACATATTTTTCATACCTCCTTAAATCAAAGTAAATTGTTCTCCTATTACCTCCTCCCATATTAAACTGAACTGAAACATCATATTTAATGCCCACCATTGGCCGAGCGGTAGAGTTGCTGAGCACTAGTTCAACCTGGGTTATAGTATTTCAGGCGAAGCGACTTGCTGTTTGTGTGTTTTGGTGCTATTCCCCTATGCGTAAGTGGATTCTGAACAGTTTTCCTTAGAAAAGCCTTCATAAAAACATATCTTCTTTTCAAAATATAGATCTTGCGTTCTTTGTCAAAATCAAATAACCCAAACTTTTATTTAATATAATGAAGTACTAGAAGATTAAAATCATGATAAAATTTATACATGATTAAAATAATTGAATAAATTGAATATTTCTTTATAATGCCTGTGATCCATATGATTTACTTTAAGCGAATGAGAACATTTTTCCAAATATCATCTCATATATGCATAATGAATGATTTCATAAATATTTCTTCAGGTTGATATCTTAAGTTTTTAAATAACTTCGATTTAAATAGAAGGTAATATTTTTTTTCATTAAATTAAGAGGGAGACAAAAACGTGTTGCAGTTTATACACAGATTTTGTATATTTATTTGGGTATTTTATCTATCAGATCAACATGCTTTCTGTACTTACAAAAGCCTAGTACTGAGGTTGACATTTCTTGTGATGACATCTCATTGTAACCATTGTTCCATTACAAGAGCCGAAGTAAAACGTGAAGTCCATCACTTGCTTTGAAGCTTTTTTCCTGTGGAATGAAATTAGTCATTATATAAAGCGCCATCTATTAACTATGTAATGCACATATTTATTACTGCTATAGTTAACTTTCAGTCGTATCTTGATTATTTCAATGGAAGAAAACATTCATTTCCATTTATGTGATATTTGACAGCCTTTGTTTAACTCATGTGCAAAATGAGAAAAACAGAACGTATTTCATCAAGCGTGCATATTACAGAAAGAACTAAAATCAGATCTAACATGTTTTTTTCATCTCTTTACGAAGGTGGAAGCTAATGCAAATATTTATGCGTAATTCTGTTTTGGAACTCTGTTATGGGGTAACATTCTTATTTTATTGTTGACAAAAATGCCTTATTTTACATTTCATACTTCTATGTGGAAGGACTCTGAACGTTAAGATTAATCTTTCAGAATTGAAAGTTAAAAAGAAAGAATTTAGGAATTATTTTAATCGTGTCTTATGCTTTTTTGTGTGAAATTTAATTTTGATTCCACATGATAAATAAGGAAAATATTGATTTCAAACCTAAATAAAAATTTCTGTTATTACCGTTTTAGAAACTGAAAAATGAGTCACTAAACATGTAAATAAAATCCAGCAAGAATTGCAGAAAAATATTTACCAATTCTAATATTAGATTTTACTTTTATGATGATGCTTTCAAATACAATAAAAGCTTAAAATAGAATATACAGAATTTACCCCCAAATTATGGCTAAAACGACAATATTAAAAAAAGTATTTTAAGTCCTTTAATTTTCAGAACTATGTTATTTAATTATGTAAATTAAACCGGTATTCAAAAATAGAACAAATTTCAAATCAGAGAGAGAGCAATATCTGCGTATATATTACTCTCCTGTTTCGTAGACGTAGGCAGAAATTAATGTCTGTTCCATTTTTTTTTAAATTTTTAAGTCTTAGCAATTTATTTTTACATTAAGATTTAACAATATTTATATATTCCAGATTATGCGAAGTTAAATTATGTACTGTTATAAACAATAGGAATTGATTAATACTGCCTTATCGTCTTCTATCACTGCTAACAACCGTGTATTAATTTATCTTTTTTATATTTCTGGCAAACATTTTACTTAACGTTGATGGGCTATGACAAGAATTTTTACATTATCCATTAATAAACGAATTAAGTTCTTTTTAGACAAGGCATGGATAATATGAAGTTTGTTTAATCCGCCTGAATTAATCGGTAGTTGGCAGTAGTGACAGAAGAAGTTATTTCATTTTATTAATATAAGGAGTATTTAAAAATGAAGCTACATATTCTGTCCATCGTCAATTGGACTGTTCTGCTTCCATTGCTATTTAATGATAATAGACATGTTTTCTCGCTGACAGGTTTCATAAAATATGGTAGAGAATTTTTTAAAACAGTTTTAAATTAGTAAGTTAGTTCTATTGAAACAAAAGCTAATCTTGTTTAAGATGTGCCTGAATAATAAAATTTGAATTAGGAATGCTTTAAATTATTAGGGAGCAAAAATAGTGTTACATTAATGAACAATATTTAAAGAGATAATGAAAAAACCATGTACTAACTTATTGTTGTTTTTCATTACTCTCTTTCCAGAAGGGCAAATGTGAACTCAGTCATCAGATCAATGAGCTCACAAACGAAATCATTGCTGCGCAAAGATCCTGCATCTTACAATGGATACCGGCTCACGTAAATATTTTTGGTAATGAGAAGCCCGATGAGCTTGCAAAGGCATCCCGTGATTCTCCTCAGCCATCCAACTGCCTAACCCTCGTTGATGCCAATGCAGTTGCCAGCCAAAGACTAATCGGTCAAGTTAAAGGAATCTCCATCTCGGAATTGAACTGTGAAAGAGCCATATCGACTATCATAACCAGACTTAGGACAAATCACTTAAAAGGGTTGATGATTTCTGCAGACGGAGCGTAGTTACACCAACATTTATCCTCATTGCCCAGATGACATCCCACTGTCTCGCTATCACATCTTCAGCTGCCCAGCACTCCAGGCCAGACTGTTTGACATCGGCGTTGAAGACCCAGTGGACCTACTTTATACTGATAGAGCTGCCGAGGTTGCAAAAGCTGTCAAAGACAGCTTCGCAGCTACATAATTGCACTTTGTCATAGACACGACATCATCATTACTCTCTTTACAGAATCAACAAGACGCTAGAATTGGCTACAATTACAAAAGGTACGTTGTAAATAAGGCGTAGTGTCGTCAGTAGAGAATAACAGTTTCCATTTGGAATGACAAAACTATTCCATGTACAATGTACATGGAATGTATGTACAACGTTTAGCTTATGCTACTTAATAATACTTATAAATACTTATAAATCAGATTTCCATGAATTTTAAATTTTTCTTATAAATATATGAAATTTTATATTTGACAAATTCAAGTGAAATGTATAGCTCATTAGCTTGTTGTTCTGTACCAAATATCATATTAATTAATAATTTATTTTTATTTTCATGTTAAATTTTATTTTCATACCATACATTCGATCTCCCAGTTGTTTCCATAAAATTTTCTACTCAATTTCTAAAACTTTAAAGTCCAAAGAAGAGTTTAGGGTTAGTATTTACGTACCAAATGTATGTATCCATATTTTTTTAACATTCTACGAAAAAGCAAAAACAATAAATAAACAAACCAGAAAATCACAAAATAAAATAATATTTTAAAACTTAAAATGGTATTAAAATATATTATTTAATATGCCAGCTACAGCTATTCTGCTCAGCTGATTAATCTTTATAATGAATGCTTTTGAATTTTTCCATTAAATAAGCATTTTCTTCTTGCTATTGATGCTCTCCTTCGAATGCATGTTTATTCATTTCAATAAATGTTCCTTTTATTGCAGAGCACTTTCAGGAAACCTTATAACATCCTTCCTGAATAGAATGTTATTTTAAAATTTTTTATAAGACATTCGAATATAATTTGCAGCCTTTTAAACATATTCCGTTTTCATTTCTATATGGTCAGATAAAGCGTAGTGTAAAAGTCAAATAAATCTGTTATGAGAAAATTTTCTTGATTTGGGTTTCAAATTTATGTATGTTTCATGTATTCATGTAATTTTATACATTCTTGTATTTCATTTGGAGAAGAGGAATTAAGATCAATGTACTATAGAAAGCACGTTTATCTGAACTAAACAAGACGGCATATATTTTGGATAAAATATTTTATGGATAAAGAACAAGATAATTTTTTGACAAACAGAGATTTAAATAAATGGGCAGACCACTGTCAAGTAATAACAGATTTTATGACACATGTTACATATAATAAATGCTATGTTTCATAAAATAAATTTAGACTTTTCCTCCAGATTTATTTGCGACTACTAAACGTCCTGTCCTGGTAAGCAATTTCAGATAGCGTAGGTTTCCCTTTTTATTCAATAAAATATCATTACACCTTGCTATTATGGTGTCCGCCGAAAACATCGCGATAAACACATCGCGAATGAAAACGTCGCGGAGAAAATAACGCAAGGCGAAAACGTATTGGTACAAAACATCGTGGGAGAAAAGAAAGCAAAGAGAAATTTTTAAAAATTTAATGTCAAGTACTTTTCACTTCGGAGTAGAAATATTTACTGTTACACTCTAGGAATAAATTTCTGAACTAAATATTCAGTCAGAAAAACACTTACGCGGACAGGTGCGTGGGGTGTGTCATACCCCAGTTCCAACAAAATACCGATAAATCCTTTTTTGAAACACACAGGCAAAGAAAAAGTGGTTCTGAAAAGTCAACCACAACTAGAAACTCAGCTACTGAAAGCAGCACAGAAATTTATTTTCACAAGTTATGAATATTCCACTTTTATGTAGGGTTGGGGTATGATACACCCCACGCGCTTTCCCGCGGGTTAAATAGCTCCGGTGAAAGTCTGGTAGAAGAATTCTAAATCAGAGTCACTTTACTAAAGTGATTAAAAACGTAACACAATATAAATTTGATAACATAAAGATATAGAAGAGCAGAGAGGCTTATAACCAGACACAGGGTAAGAGCCTTAGTGACGTAATCAATTGAAATATAAAGGGGTTTTGTACCTTTTAAACAACAGTTTGTGTATAATAAAGCTTGTAAAAATGGCATCATTAGCCCACGTAGTACGTCTATCTGTGGACCCCGTCTACAGTTCAAACATCAATTTGGATGTTAACTGTGTGTTGAATATTATCCTGTATTTTCAAAATACCAAACAATGCAATTATACATTTCCTAATGTAACAGAGTCCTTTCCTAAATACGTCCATTACTGTGTAGAACACGGGCACGTATATGCAAATGTTAGTTTCTTAATTATTTTCCAAAAGTTCTTTTGAAACAGAAGAGATAAAACAAAAAATTTGAATTTTTGTAATCCTTCAGGTAAAGAAGACCATGGCAGGATAAAATCCATTGAAAACTTCGTTGTAAAATGACTAAGCGTTAAATAAGACACACATAGCATTAGATACCACAGTGTAGTTGACGTATCATGTTTTAATTAGCATAATTTGGAAGTCTGATATATCGATTCTAAATTACTCTTCTGCAGAGTATAGTGGTAGAGTTTAAAGTAGTTATTTACAGGACGGCTTAAATGAGGCATTCTGATAAACTAATCTGAAATTGAGAATCTTAGCTATGCAATTATGTATATTCGTACAGTAATTATTAATTTGTACTGCGCAATAAATTGATTTACACAGAACACATCATGTAAGATAAACAACTGCAGTATTAGTTTACTAAATGCAACCGCAGCTGTTTAAATTACATAATATAACCTAAAAAATGTGTTCAGCACATAGAAACCACTTAATGTTTCTTGAATGGGCATTTTCACTTTAGCTATCTTCTCTACTAGAGTTACCTAACATTTCTCCTAAACGTTATTAGTTTTACTGTTTGCTCATGTTTCGCATCCAGCCGTGTAACATTTTGTGATAATTGCTAATGATGATTTGTGATTGTATGCATAC